TCCTCCACCTCCTCCTCCTCCTCTTTCTCCTCCTCTTCCTTCTTCTTTGAATACCTTGGAAATCTCCAAAAATGATTTTAAAACTTTAATAACTAAAATTTTGAATCTTGCTGTTACATTTTGAGATCAAAATTCTCTACTTCCCCTCCCCACTCATTTATGTCCTAGGTCCTCTGCTATGTAGAGCAAAGAGAAATTAGAGACAAATCAATCCTTCATACCTGTGTTTATGGTTGTTTATAGGGAGGGGTCCTTGACTCCACTCTGACCTGGAGGTTTTCTGGGTTTGCTGTGCTCCTTATTTCCCTGGGAGTTGACATTCAGCTTCACCAGGGTTCTGCCCTCATTAAGGACCCTTAACTTCTTTGCCTATGTTAGAATTTTCATTTGTTCAGTCACAAAGTGGCATGGAGATCTTTTCTGACATCCTCTGCGTGTTGCATAGATTTGAGATGAGTCGCTGTATTTTTGCAGGGGCACACACCACCCTCTGCACACAAAGACTGCTCTACCAATTCTCCAGTCATCTTCGTCTTCTAGATACAACCAGAAATCAGTGTCTGTGATTGGTTACGTTGTTTAACTACATGTATTCTCAGACTCAACTTCACAGGGCCTGGCTCCTGTTTTCTCACTGTACTGATTGATCTGTGTCCTTCAGCTAAGCAGCCACAGCAGAAGATGAATGCAAACCTCTTCTTCTCATGGGTTCCCCACATACTAACTACTGATTCTGATAGATGCCAACAACTGGTTTATTTTGGGGAATGTGAGGAAGAAAAGGGAAGAACTTCTACCAGCCTTGACTCTTCTGTCTTCCCAAGTTCTCACTTCAATTTTCAGTGGGTAAAGGGAAAAGTGGGTTGTTGCGGTTGGTAGGACCTGTTCTACCCTTTTGTTATGCACATGTCTTAGTGTCTGACCTCAAATATAGGTGACTCAGTAGAATTGGCTTATTTAGTACTTTGACTCAGCTCTATACTTGAGAAGAGTCCCTATCAACATCATGTAGAAGACAACAGCGTTCTTTAGAGAAACAAACAATGGAAATGACTAATTTATCTAAAGTTACTTAGGAGGGCTTCCCCCAAATAGGCTTCCTTATCTGCTCCCTGGCTTCTCATAGCACCTCACCTCCCTCTTTACGTTTTTTTGTAAATGTTTTTCATTCACCAACCAGTGTCAATGATCCTGAGTTGAGCTGCTGCTCTCTGCAATGGTTTCCAAGTTGACAACATGCTGGTGCACAGGAAAGATTCAGTCCTTTGTCTTGGTCTGTTTTTGTGCCTCTATAACAGAATCATACAGACTGGGTAGTTTGTAAATAACAGAAATGTATTTGGCATATGGTTCTAGAGATTGGGAGGTCCAATATCAGGAGGCAAACATTTGGTAAAGGCCTTCTTGCATCATCCCACAGTGGAAGTTACAAGGGCCCGAGAGAGTGCAGAGAGAAAGAGAGTAGGAGAGAATAAGGGGGCAAACCCATTCTTTTAAAGGAATCCATTTGCGTAACAAGAAACTCATTCCTATGATAATGGCATTAATCCACTCAATCCCTCAAGGCACCATTACTGCTTAAAGGTCCCTACTCTCAATGTATTGGGGATTAAGTTTCCAACACATGCATTTTGGGGGACACACTCAAACCAGAGCGCCCACTGAGGGAGAAATTTACAAGTGCCAAGAATGTGATACTAGGGAAATGGAGAGTTCTTCCAGAGCAGGTGAATCCAACTATGAGTTCTAACCTGGTGGAGGGGCTCAAGGAAATTTCTAGGGAAGTGAGGCTTAAGCATAGACCCAAAGGATGAATGGGAACCAGTTTAGCACAGAGGGGTCAATTGTTTCTAGACAAAAGGAGTGAAAGCAATTTAGGATGATTGCAATAAAGAACAGCTTGTGCCAGATAAGGCTAGATAAGGGGTAATGGTTAAATCAAACAGGTATCATAGATCTTGTTTAGAATAGAGGTAAAATGAATGAGTGAATGAGTAAAAACTCTTCCTTTAGGTTCATATTTTGCTCCAAAGGATAGATAGTGGTGCTGGATGCTTAGTCATGCTCCCCTTTAGAAGGAGCATGTGGACTCAACCATTCTCCATATGGGAAGAGAGGCTGTTTGGGAATAAATAAATGAGGAGGCTCTGATGGAGCCTCCTTCACTGTTCCTTTGTTTTCTGTTATACTTTCATTGCCCTTTCCCAGCTCTAACCCTTCCTTTTACTTTGACGTTTCTTCCTCTCTCTGTGTCTTGTTCCTCCTGTAACCCTCTAGTGACCCTGTGTTGATTGGGTTTGCTCATCCACAAATGTAATTTTAATTCTTTTGAGGAAAGACAGGCCATAATTATTCAGTTACTATTTTTCCCATTAGGGCTCTCTTTGCAGGCTTTGAGTTCTCTGTGGAAACATAGACTCTGCTTGAAGTTTTTTATATTTTATTGTGTGGATATCAATAACCCAATGATGTCTTTTCTAAAATATCTGCCTTTTTCCTTTGTGTGCTATGTACAAAAATATTAGGCTTGCAGTGAGCCAATTGCCTTCCGTTAGTGACAGCATGCTTTCCTCTGCTGAACTGAAAACGTTTTTACCTTGGGAAATATATCTGAAGATGTCATGTTACTGTCAATTTTTGAAGGAATAAATACCACTTAGAAACATCAGCACATGTAAATCACTCAAATGTTCAAATGTTTTCTTTTTTTTCCCCCACCCCCTAAGGTTATATCAGGGAAGCTGCATTGTCTCCAAAGGGTCAGGGTCAGGGTACATCTAACAATTATGATTTTTCTGGTTTCTTAGGAGGTCGGACAATCCCACTTTAGGAACAGTGGGTGATAGCATAGGCTAATAGCTTTGCTTTTCTCAAGGTCTCTGTCATCTGCTGGGATTTATCCAACTCCTTTGTTGAAAGGACTTACATCTATTTCATGAAAGAAAACCAGACTAAGATCTGCTTACAACTTTATCCTATTTTCCTAATTTAAGGTCCATTCTTACACATGTTAACTTACAGACAAACCACACTCTCCTAAATATTTCTCCTACCTTTGGGTCTTAGACAGAGATGGACTTGTGTTACTGCTGTTTTACCGGTGACCGAGTCCTCGCTTCCCCAATGCTGAAGTGTAACACCAGAGAAGCATGCCAAGTTTAGAGTGGAAAGTTGAATCTTTATTAAAGGACAGCAGAAAAGACTTCTCCCTGGAGGAAGAAGGGGACCCAAGAGGTGGAATCCATGGAAGGGAGAGGTCTTCCCTCTTTCATAGCTAAGGTCTACTTTCTTTCTTTTTTTTTTAAATTAATTGCTCAAAACATTACAATGATCTTGACATATCATATATCATACATTTGATTCAAATGGGGTATGAATTCTTATTTTTCTCACTTGTACAGATTGCAGGATCACACTGGTTAATCAGTTTATACATACTGCCATACTAGTGTCTGTTGTATTCTGCAAAGGTCTACTTTCAGCTTTCCCACATTCCTGTCCTTTGTTCTGTTATCTTGCAGTGATGGAATGTAGATGGGAAGGCCCAAAGGGTGGGGGACAGGTGGGCTGAAGGAGTAATCTGGGCAGGGAGGGCTTCTGGATTAGCATCTCCTTGTTTGCTGGGAGCTGCTTCATAAACATATCCTAGGGATGGTCTCCAGGCTTTGGGGACATTTTCAATTCCTTTTTTCCTGGACTCCATTCTCAATCATAACCTTCATTCTTGATTTTACTCTATATTAGATCCGATTTACCTAACTACACTAACTACCTATCTATAAATCTGGCTTCACTTGCAGAATGGCAAAAGGTTTTTTCTGTGTCATTGCTTCAGCCAAATGTTTATCTTCTTTTCCTTCCTGTTGTAGTTACCTAAATGAGATCTAACTCAACACAAGAAAGTGATGTTGAAACAGAGAGTGAAGAGGATGAAGACGATGATCAAAATGTCATGTGGATTTAGTTCCAGCCATGTATGGCTAAATGATTTGCCTATGTTATGCTATTCAACTCTTACAAAAACCTTTGGGGTAAATACTATTGGTAGATGAAAAATATGTTCAAAATTATCTAAAAAATATAAACAAAATGGTGTGGATAATAAGAGACAAATCTAGAATTTAGACTTATGTGTTTGTAATATCCTCATGCCAATAATAATTTGGAGTTGTATTATATGGGCCCCTAGGTTTGGGGTTTGTTTTTTCACTCAGAATAGGTTTGTGCATACTTAAGTTTGAAAAAAAAAACAACATGTGCTATATTCCTTCTAACCAAATAAACTCATTGGCCCCACCCCTTTGCTTTTGGCTGTGATATTCCACACAGCACATAAACTCTTTAAATCTCACTTCCTCAGCTGAGCTTAAAGAGCTTGAATGTCTCCTTTGAAAACAATCGGATCTTTAAAAAAATAAAACAAAACTTTATTAACTGCTAAATGTAGTTATATACAAGATTATTTTATTAGTACAAGGTTGGCTACTGTTTTATAGTTTGAAGGCAAACTACAGAATTGTATTCATAATGATGTCTTTGATGTGGTGTTATTTACCTTACACATTTTTGGTATGAGATACACATTCTAATGAGAAAGGCAAAAATATAAAAATAATTAAAAATATGAATTCTAAGGAAATTCAATTTCTTACCCATTTTGTACATGGTGCTTTGTAGTATTTACCTATTGAATGGCAGCTCCCCAATTATTCCAAACACAAGCTATTGATAAAGCAAAGATGAGTTTGCTGTCTGTGGTTGCTTCCTGGTGAAGTTGATGGATCTTTCAGGAAGTTTCTACAGTGAACTGTCAAGTTGTTTTTGCCTGGACACCAGTCTCCTGAAATAGTAACAGTGAAGGCCAGCAAAGACAGCAAAGAGTAAAGTCCTGTCCATGTGGACAATGGGATGAGGGAGGGAGTTAAGTAGATTCACCACACAGTGTCCTAGCTGTGTGTGAGGCAGGTCCTCCCATCCTGCAGTGATGTGGTTCATTCCATGTCATTACAGTAGAGGATGCTGGAGAATGTCCTTCTCCACAGCCAAGTTGTCCTCTTAGCCATCTGTGTCCTCCCACAAATGCCTTGTGTTTCTCTACCTGGAAGAGAAGTATCACAGTGGTGGAAGTGAGGTAGAAGTGAAGAAATGGTGCTAATGTGATAGCTTTCATCACCATTCACCCCCACATGGCACCTGGACTTCCTGGTGCACTCTGTCATCTACTCTTTGTAACAACCATATGGAATTGCCTCCTCTTTCATTTCACAGATCTGGCGTAAGGAGAGATCATTTTCATTGTTTAATAAAGATTTATTACAATTAATTGGATATTCTTTCAATAGCTCTTGATCATGTAAATCAACCTA